TATGATTATTGACTGCACGGAAAAGGTCTGCATTAAGCGGGATTTAGATGAGGCAGGAGAGTTGAGTTCAACTCAAACCGATCTGGTCGTAGGCGTTCAATTGAATTGGCAACGAATAGAGACAAACGAACTGTCAAAACAAGAGCCAAACGAGCAGTGCCTATCTTGATTACATTGGCAGTGTTGCTGACCCTCTCATAGTCTGCATGCTTCAATCAGATTTATTTTTATTGTTCGTGAAGTAACCTACAATGAAAACACACCAATATTTAATTTAACAACAATTTTTATTGTAATAGAGTTGTTCATTATTGTTCGTGATCGAATCATGTTAACAATAAAATAAATGAAAAATACAATAAAAATCATTGTAACAACATTTTATTAAGTACATTCATTGTACAGATAGGTAGCAGTTTTGCCGTTTTCGGAAGGGTACAACATTATAACAATCATTTTTATTGTCGACAATAAATATTAATGTTAGAGCATTGTTTCCACTGAAAATTTCACTGTAATTTTTTTTTCGGGCGGTTGGTACTACCAACTACGATACTTTTAAATTGACCGTTAAATCACAGACAAACAGACATAACACATTGAATATTTCTCTTGTAAAACATCGTCGCTAAAACATTACCGCCATCTGTTGAGTACACTGTGGTGGGTAGTACGCTGAACAGATGGTGGTAGTGTTTAAACGTCAAATACAAGGGAATTGACTATGCGCGCCACAGGTGGCGGTACTACCAACTACGATACTTTTAAATTTGCCTTTCAATGCTTGTTCGATGAACAACTTGCGAGTGTTATGTCTGTTTGTCTGTGGTTAAATGCTTGTTCGATGAACAACTTGCGAGTGTTATGTCTGTTTGTCTGTGTTAGAACTGTCGAGTAGATTGAAACAATTTTAATACTCAGCATTGCGAACGGCCTAACTCATGTTTTCCTTGTTTCAAGATCATCCTCGGTGGACAAAGCTGAATCTTGTCACTATCAACAAGGCATAAAAAGTAACAAGGACTATGATGTGTTCTTTTGATTAAGTACTAAAAATCCTGTTCCCCTAGTTTGAAGTAACCAGGACGACTAGGACTTACCTTACCAATCAGGCTAAGGCCTTGTTGTCCTCTGCTGTCCGAAGAAGTCGTCTCCACTCTACTCGATCCATGGCCACAGTTCGCCAGCCTCGTAGTCTGCGAAGGGTCCGCAGGTCACCTTCTACTTGGTCGATCCACCTTGCCCGCTGCGCGCCTCTTCTTCTTGTTCCTGTTGGGTCGCTTTCTAGAACCATTTTCACTGGGTCGTCGTGCGGCATTCTTACGACGTGCCCAGCCCACCGTAGTCGCCCAATTTTTGCAATGTGGACGATGGATGGTTCTCCCAGCAGCTGGTGCAATTCGTGGTTCATTCGCCTCCTCCACGTTCCGTCATCCATCTGCACTCCACCGTAGATGGTACGCAACACCTTCCGTTCGAAAACACCAAGGGCGCGTTGGTCCTCCACGAGCATAGTCCAGGTCTCGTGGCCGTAAAGGACCACCGGTCTAATCAGCGTCTTGTAGACAGTCAACTTCGTGCGGCGGCGAATTTTATTCGACCGGAGCGTCCTCCGGAGTCCAAAGTAGGCACGATTCCCTGCCATAATGCGTCTTTGAATTTCTCTGCTGGTATCATTTTCGGCGGTCACCAGTGAGCCCAAATACACGAACTCATCGACCACCTCGATTTCGTCACCGTCAATCTGAACTCGGGGTGGGAGGCTAACATTGTCTTCCCTAGTACCTCTTGCTTTCATATATTTTGTCTTTGATGCGTTGATGGCAAGTCCAATCCGTCTAGCTTCAGCCTTCAGTCTGATGTACGTTTCCGCCATCATCTCAAAGTTCCGTGCCATAATGTCAATGTCATCGGCGAAACCAAGGAGCTGGATGGACTTCCTGAATATCGTGCCACTCGTGTCTATCCCAGCTCTTCTGATCACACCTTCTAACGCGATGTTGAACAGCAGACACGAAAGTCCATCACCCTGCCGTAACCCCCTTCGAGATTCAAAGGGACTCGAGAGTGTCCCCGATACTCGAACAACGCACGTCACTCGATCCATCGTCGCCTTGACCAATCGCGTCAGTTTATCCGGAAATCCGTACTCGTGCATAATCTGCCATAGCTGATCTCGATCGATTGTGTCGTATGCGGATTTGAAATCGATGAACAAATGATGTGTGGGCACGTTGTATTCGCGGCATTTCTGCAGAACCTGCCGAATCGCGAAAATTTGGTCCGTGGTAGCGCGGGCACCCATGAATCCCGCCTGGTATTGCCCCACGAACTCTCTTGCATATGGTGACAGACGGCGGCATAGAATTTGGGAGAGTACCTTGTAGGCGGCGCTCAGCAGTGTGATCGCGCGGTAGTTGCAGCAATCCAACTTGTCGCCCTTTTTGTAGATTGGGCATACGACACCTTCCATCCACTCCTCCGGTAATATCTCCTCCTCCCAAATCTTGGCAATTATCCAGTGCAGCGCTCTAGCCAGTGCTTCACCACCGTATTTCAATAGCTCACTTGGTAGTTGATCTACACCAGTTGCTTTGTTGTTCTTCAGCCGACCGATCTCCTCCTCAACTTCTTGAAGATCAGGGGCCGGTAGCCTGTCGTCTTCTGCGCGTGCTCCAAGGTCTGTTGCCGTGCCACCTTCGTTTTCTGCTGCTTCACCGTTGAGGTGCTCGTCATAGTACTGCTTCCACCTCTCAATCACCTCACACTCGTTCGTGAGAAGGTTACCGTCCAAGTCCTTGCACATATCGGCTTGCGGCACGTAGCCTTTGCGCGAACTATTTAGCTTCTCGTAGAACTTCCGTGTGTCGTTTACGCGGTACAGATTTTCCATCGCCTCGCGATCTCGATCTTCCTGCTGACGCTTCTTCCTTCGGAAAACCGAGTTTTGTCTGTTCCGCGCTTGTCTGTATCGCTCCACATTCAATCTCGTGCGGTGTTGCAGCATTCTCGCCCGTGCTGCATTCTTCTCCTCTACTATCAGTTTGCATTCGCCGTCAAACCAGTCATTTCTTCGGTCCGGGATTGCAGTACCTAGTGCCGCTACAGCAGTACTACCTATGGCTGAACGGATGTCCCTCCAGCCATCTTCAAGAGAAGCTGCGCCAAGCTGCTCTTCCGTGGGTAGTGCAACTTCCAGCTGCTGCGCGTAGTCCTGGGCAACTCCGGTGTCCCGTAGTTGCTCAATGTTGGGTCGTGGCGTTCGACTTCGACGTGTGTTATGCACCGTCGACGACTAGGAACCGGTGGTAAATCTTACATCCCGTAACGTACCACGAAAAGGTGATCTACACACGTTACGTTACGGGGCATAATTTTTCATTAGAAATGGTAACTTGTTTGCTTATTTCACCTATTCTGATGACGTCACATAAAAAATAACAGGAACGGAGTATATGTAAAGGCTGACTAAAAGTAAATTGGTACGCTCCTCGCGCGCCACTAGCACGCTTCTAGTGTTGGAAATCGAAAATCTTTGACAGTGGTTTGTTTACACTTCTAAAGAGAACAAATGGTGGAAGTTTGATCAAAGTAGTCGATCGCGTTCAGAAATAACGTCAAATGGAACTCGAAAGAAAAAACATATTGTGCACAAACACCTGGAAAATCCGGAGTGGTCCCGTTCCAAGCTGGCTAAAATGCTGAAGATGCCGAAGACAACAGTTTGTCGAGTGCTCAAAACCTACAAGGAAACCCTGAGTGTGGAAAGGAATCAGCGGACCTACGAAAAAACAGGAACCAGGGATCGTCATCTGCGCAGCAAGGTTTTGAGGTGCGTTAAAGCCAACCCCGGTCTTTCCCGGTGCGGAACATCCTTGCCAGAGAAGGATACAAGTCGTACAAAGCCAGTAGACATCCGAACCGGCACCTGAAGCAGAATTCCGTGGCAGAAAAGCGTGCAAGGCTCTTGTACGACCGTATTTTGACGAAACAAAAGAGCTGCACTTTGATCGATGATTAAACATACGTCAAACTCGATTTTAAGCAGCTTCCAGGTGCCGGGAAGATTCATGTTCGTGTTTGCCGACAAGTTCGTGAAGAAGGCCATGGTTTGGCAAGTGATTTGCAGTTGTGGCCAGAAAACGGAAACATTCGTCACATCCTGAAAAAGCGTGTATTGCCGTTCATCCGCAAGTATAGGGGCAAAGTCATCTTTTGGCCCGACTTTGCCAGCTGCCACTACTAAAAGGTGGTTCTGGAGTGGTATGCTGCCAGCAAGATCGATTTTGTCCCCCAAGCTAATGATTCCTCCGAATTGCCCGGAATTTCGACCAATCGAAAAATACTGGGTAATTTTAAAAAAGGGACTTCGACGAAGCAGCGGCAGTCAAGGACATCCAGCAAATGCGGAAACAATGGAAGAAATGCACTGATTCCGTGTCCGCGATTTCGTTCGAACTGGAGAAATGTAACCATCTAATGCTGTAACTTTGAAGTTTTAATAAAAGTACTGTAAATCAACTATTAATGGACTTTTTAAACTTATTGAATCACGAATTACAGGTCTTATTGTGTGCGTACCAATTTAATTTTAGTCAGCCTTTAAGCCGTGGTCCAAACAAGGCGTGTAGTCTTCCAGCAGAGAACGGGTGTCGATAATTAATTAAAACGGACATCTTAGGGAATGTGATATAGAGTAAATACGAGATTTTCCTACACTTAGTTTAATCGGAATTCGAAGCATATAAGAACTCACTGCAGATTTTGGCATTACTTACTGAATGTCCTTTTCAAGTGAAAAATTCGAGTTTTGCGTTGTTAATAGCTTAGCTGATATTTTCTTCGATACTTTAGATTATATCGTTCGGTGGTTTTCTTCCAATCTAAGAAAAAAAGTTTATAAAATAAACTGAAACGTTAATCTCGCCAATGCATTTAGAAAAAAATGAACAAAATAATAATAAAAAAAAAACAAAAGATAAATAAAACAAACAGTGTCATATTTTACATAAAATGCGTAAGACTTTTTCGATATTCCTTTATTAAGGGGGGGATGATTTGATTACTACACAATTAGCACATATAAAGAGAGGAAACACGGAACGAAAAAGAATCCTACTATCATATAATAATTACATGTCGGTTTTTCTTGCACTTCCTCTTCTTTTTCTTCTTCTTAACCGTCGATTACTTTATTTTCCAATTCCGAACTCAAGCCAAGTGCGCAATCCTTAGCTCGAACTGTTCCGACTCGTTTTTAACCTTCAAACTCAACACAATCATCGCTCGAGTATCGGCCAAGTGCGTCCCTTCGTCGTCGCCCGGTTTTCCGGTTCACTCCCAAATCCATCATCCAAACAAACACACCCACACTAAGGATCCATTATACTCGGTCCAATCGCTGCTGACTATCTGTTTCTTGCTTGCGTTATTCATATCTTGCTTGTTTTAAGTTAGTTTAAAGTATTCTATAGCGTACTTGTTCTACTGTAGTATTACACGATTAAAATGGATAGAAAATGATCATGGTGTCATTTTTTATTTATTTCTTAACAGTTGTATTCAAAAGGTTTGGGGGGTAAACCTCTGGGAATGGAAGGTTGTTTTAGTGCGATTGATCCGGAAGTGCGCGGGGAAATATGCAAGCTTACAACAGAACTGCAGAAAGCAACATAGCAACGGCTGATTGTGATAAGTTTCGCTGCGAAATTGGTGCTGCCATCTATGAATCAAGAATGGAAACCGTCATTATGATTGTTTACATTACTGAGACAAAGATGGTAGCACTAATGATTAGTTCAAAAGGGTATCATAAACAGCAGATGCAGTTAAGGGTATCTTGCCAATCCGAACTTTTCCCGCCCTCAAATAAGATCAATCATGTTCGACCAATTCCATGCCAAAGTGGGCAGCGATTTTTCTTGGAAAACGTGAAAAATCGTTCTTCCATTCCAGCGTGGAATTGGCCATCAAATTTTAGCCTTTAACTCTCGCAGTCGTAAGAGGCATGGAATTTTTTTCGTTTCATCAATTTAGAATCGTCTTTTCCCTATCGTTCTACGGAATAGCTAAAAAATAGTAAGCCTATTGTGTATAACCTTGTTTCGCTTAGAACTAGTATGCTTTATTTATAGGTAATATTTATAAAGTTTACTCATTTTTTTTTCTTGTTTTGTATATTCATCACAATGATTAATATTCACTTCGCTTTCAATTCAAATTTTCCCCAAATTACTTCTGTTATGCGTAATCCTATAAAAAAAGAATCGATTCTAAATACTGCAATAAACTTGTCTTTTTTCGGAAAGTTCACATTTTTGTTTGTTCGATTTAAAAATTGGACACATTTCTACCTCTGATACTGATTAGTGTTTTTGTTTAACTGTATGGATTTTTCTCAAAACGATTTTTGTTATTCGAATTGCTTTCATTTCACACATCGAAACATCGAAAACATCATACTTAATAAGTTCTTCACGATAAGCTTATAGGTATGCATGTGTGTTTGTTTATAGAATCCACTTCTGAAAGATGTGTTTTACCAAATAGCTAATTACACAAAAAAAAAAATGATAAACAAATTACACAGAAAATTGCTTACAATTTAATAATCGAAAACGGACCCCCACACGGGACGTTCTTAGAAAAGCAAATCAGTGACACGGGTTCCCTGACTCCAGTTGACCGTTTGCTCGTCGGAAGCCGGTTTCAGATATTGTATACTTTCCGGTTCACCCATTTCGCCATTCAGCAGCAGCAACCCACTGCCATCGGTTCCGTTGATTCGCTGTTGCTGCTGTTGCTGGTGAAGGTGATGATGATGATGGTGATGACCATTCGAATGATTATGGTGCTGCGACTGCTGTGGCTGTTGCTGCTGCTGCTGCTGCTGCTGATGGGGCTGATGGTGGTCGTTGTTGTGGGCGGTGGCGTTACTACTGTTACTACTGCAAGTACTGCTGGCAGTGCTACTACTGGCGGTGCTCGACGGGGACGGCGTTCGCGTGACGCCCAGTTCGAAGTTGGTATCTATGGCGGCCTTTACTGGGGTATAACTAGCAAAAGGAGCGGAGCCTAGAATTAATACACAGGGCACAAACTCATAAATTTACTCGGGGTATAAACCAAAATAGAATTACGGAAATTATAAGGTGGAAAATAAGGTGTTATACATTGGGGGAGGGGTTGGGGTTGAATGAGGTAAACAAGTTGTTTAAGTAAAATAAATATTGAATGTATAAGTACTGCTAGAGAATCAATCGATCAAATCATTTATTTTCGCTCAGAAAAGTAGACAGATCTTGTGAGTCTTCGTCTGCAAGGCTTATGCGTAAGAGATGTCATTTTTCCGTTCGAAAAATGTCTTCAGCTACAACATGTATTTCAACAAGAATGCAAGTTGAACTTTTCAAATTTGCAATGACTTTTATTATCGACAGGTGTGTGGTAGGGTAGAGCGCTACTTCGTCGTAATCGTCCATTTTCGTTCTATCGAGCAGAAAACATCAGTATAATCGATTATTTCACCGTGCACAAATCAGTAATACGTTTGTACTGATGCGTTAGTTCACAAACTACAACAAAAAGCCTACTAGAGCGTATTGGGTGAATATTTACACTCATTGTTCTCAAAACAAAAGAAGCGCTCCTAGCAAACTCGCTTTTTCTACCGTCATCCGTAGGACGAAGAAAATTCAATGGCGTTTCAATGCGTTTGGACGGAATTGAAACTCGTAGGACCAATTTGGAATCAAGAAGCAGTGGTAGATTTCAAAGTATTCCCAGCTTGTTGGTTCACGATGTTTTATAAAATGTTTCAAATGACGTAGAATGTTTTTTCGTGACGTTTTATTAAAATTCAAAAATTCAGTGCCAACATTTCAAAGGGGCGTAATTGCATTTGTAAACAATGACTTTAGCCGTCGATTTCTCGTGAATAAAAGCTCACTCATGAAAAATAATGGCACCATCAGGTAGAGGAATGTTTCCTCTACCAGCTAGCATTGTTATTTTGGAGAGGTAAGATTTCATTCGCGAGAAATTGACGACTACACCGTTCGAAAAATTCATGTAAATTTCTGCGAGATATAGCGCACATAAAATTAACGCTAGATTTGGCATAAATTTACGCGATATTTCGTGTAAATTTAAGCGCAATATCGCATAAATTAACAATATTGTATGCAAGTTTGTAAACGATTTCGCTGTTTATGCTAATTATAGCTCAAAATTAAGAGAAGGGGGATTTTACGCGATAGTTAAAATTCAGAATTTGTTTCTGTGTAAAGTCATTGTTTACAAAAGGAATTACACCCCTTAGAAATGTTGGCGCTGAATTATTACTCGTTGACAGTGCTACTAAAAATGCTTTAAAAATATAGTAAACATCGAATATTGAAATTAAAAAGATTAAAAAGGCCGAGAAACAGGCAGAGATTACACTGGAGTCGCTTTTTACGCGGGGGATACGTGCCGCGTAAAAAAAAACCGCGTAAATTCCGAATCCACGTAAAAAAACCACGTAAATTCGAAAATCCAAATTATCCTAATATCCGATTCTAAAATGTGTATTTAACTAATAGTTGAGCTGATAAACAACGATCTGCTTCAAGAATTATATTTCTCTCGCACAATCCGAATCCTCACCAATATTTTCAAAGAATTTTATAACCTCAATTCGAGATGCCGGGAAGTTGTACGAAGTGCGATCAGCCGGACACCCGGAGATGGTGGCTTGTGACGAGTGTAAAGCATGGCTGCATTTCAGTTATGATGGAGTTAGTCCCGGAGTGGAAAATCGTGAGTGTTGGTGTTAAAATTGCACCGCGAAGCGGGAAAAGAAACGGAAGGGTAAGAATGTGGAAAATCCTCCACCGAAATCCAGCTCGAAGAAATCCGCTACGCAGCATCTCACCGTGCCAACGACCTCCGGAGCGGAATCTACTGAGGAAGCAGAAACTGGTGAAAAAGGTAGCAGTGTTGCTGGTGATAATCCGGGTGATGAAAAACTCTCGGAAAAAACAGCTGGAAGTGATTTGGCAACAGCTGAATCGAGAGTGCAGATCGAGTTCCGTCGTATGGATGAACAACTCTTGAAAGCGGAAAAGGAGCTGAAAATGGAACAACTTATCCGCGAAAGGCAGCTGAAGGTAGAGAGGATTCTGGCCGAGAAGCAACTGTTGATGGAGCCGGAGCTTAAGGAGAAACAGCTTGCGCAAGAGAAGCTTATGTTGGAAAAACGGTTAGCTGAAGAGGCAGCATTCCAGCAGAAGAGACGTTCACTCAGGGAAAAGTTCGAGTGTGAGAAGTCCGAGCTTAACGCAGCTGCCAGAAGGCGCGGTTGGAGGAAAGCTGGAGAAAAAAAAGGGCATTTGGTGGTAAGCACCACAAAGTAGGTGATATCGAGCCACAGCCGTGTGTCTGACTGGTTGAAAAACAAGAAGATTCCAACACATGGCACTAGCAACGTTGGTGCGCACGAAACCACTATGCGGAATCCCGATGTGGTCAGACACCAGCAGAGAGGAAAATGTGCTGTACAGGAGGAGCAAGACAGCAACGACGATGAGAGCGATGAAACCCCAGAAGCTGAAACCGCTTCAGTAGAAAGTTCGGAAACCCACGCATCCGTGGCCTGCAATTCACTGGCTGACACAGCATCGCGGTACGAACCTGGACCTACGCGAGCTCAGCGTGCAGCTCGGCAGATACTTTCAAAGAATCTGCCCATATTTACGGGGAGATCCGAAGAATGGCCACTGTTGTATAGCAGTTTCGTAAACTCCACGGAGGCTTGTGGGTTCACAGAACTCGAGAACCTTGTTAGACTTCAGGAATGTCTTAAGAGACCGGCTTTAGAGGCTGTGCGTAGTCGACTTCTCTTGCATCGAGGGGTACCACAGGTCATAAACACTCTCCGTATGCTCTACGGTCGCCCCGAACAGTTGGTCCACACCAAGGGGTAGGTCACTCCGCACACCATTCTTGGGTCATCTTTTTTATCAGTGTGCCGCAAGTATACCGATTGTGCCAGTCATAGAGCAAGTTGCGATTGTTTGTAAAATACTCATCCCGGCAACCCGGTATTTCTGACACCTTGAATGTTGTGGTTTGAAATCGCAAGGATAAATCGGATTGAGGATGACGCGGGTAGTGGCGGGTGTGTGAACTTTCGGTGTTTTGTGATCCATAGGGTAATAAAAGTCCTGTGTTTTAGTGTTCAATAATGGAACCGGTGGGGAGCATTGTTAGTGATCGACTATAAAGGGTGTCCACGATGAAATTGCCACACTATGAAATTGCTCTAACTTTTTAACCGTTGGGTAGAATTTAATGAAAATTTGGGTGAATTTAGTTCATAGTGCATTATTTACATCCTGCAAGTTTTAAAGTCCTGTGATCAAAACTCGCGGAAATGGAGTCGAAAGAACAGCCCGTGCGTGATAAAATCTTGCGCATTCATCACGAGAACAAGGATCTCTCGCATCGTTCCATCGCTAAAACGTTGGGAATCGCGAATTCCACGGTGTCGCGAGTGATTAAGCGGTTCGAGGAACGGTTGACCACCGATCGGAAGCCCAGAAGTGAAGGAAAAAGTATTCCGTACAACACCAAAAATCACAACCGCGTAGTTGGGGCCTTCAACCGAAATCCGAACGCCTCCGTTAGGGATGTGGCTAAGAAGCTGCACCTAAGCCGAAGTTTTGTCCAGAAGGCCAAAACTAAGACTGGGCTTCGAACGTTCAAGGTACAAAAGGCCCCTTATCGCGACGAGAAGCAGAACAAGTCCGCCAAAACCCGTGCCAGGAAGTTGTACCTCAACATGCTGACGAAAGTTGAATGCTGCATCATGGACGACGAAACATATGTGAAGGCCGACTTCAAACAGATCCCCGGCAACCTATTTTTCACGGCCAAGGATAAGTTCAGCGTTCCGGAGCATGTCCGCACTCAGTAGATGTCCAAATTTGCGAAGAAATTCCTGGTTTGGCAAGCCATCTGCACGTGCGGGAAGCGGAGTGCACCTTTCGTGACCCAGGACACGATGAACGGACAGGTGTACATAAAAGAGTGCCTCCAGAAGCGGCTGCTTCCTCTCCTGAAGGCCCACAACGTCCCAACAATCTTCTGGCCGGATTTGGCCTCATGCCACTACTCCAAGGACGTGCTGAATTGGTATGCGGACAATAAGGTCAATTTCGTGCCGAAAATGTTCAACCCTCCCAACACTCCGGAGCTCCGCCACATCGAGAAGTACTGGGCGATTATGAAGCAGCACCTTCTTAAGCGACCTAAGGTAGTGAAGACAGTCGAGGAACTGAAGAAAGTATGGGTTTACATGCAAAAAACGGTTGATTCACAGGTTGTGCAGAATCTTATGGCCGGGGTTAAGGCCAAGGTGCGGGCATTTGCGTATGGACTGTAAATAAAATACGAGTAAAATGGTAAAATGAAGTTTAATAGTTATTTCTCAATCCCTGAAAATTTGATGGCAATCGGATGAAAACTCGAATTTTGCGAATCAATTTTGTGTGTGGCAATTTCATCGTGGACACCCTTTAGAGGGCGATGAATAGACTTCTTTAGTTTGTTTTGTGTGATTTGCAGCATTATTTGAATTAAGGGTACTAATGAGGTTTGATTAACTGCCTCTTCCTCTTGAGCTTATAGAAACTTTTTTTTTTAACATACTGTCAAACAGCACGTAATGTTCTGAACAACTTCAATGACAGATGTCCAGCAGTGCTCCCATATTATTTACAACAATCTAATGCCTACGAGATTGTGCCGAAGGTATGCCGAAAATGTGCCGATGGATGTACCCAAGCTGTGTAGAATATAATTCCGGCACAATGTGCTGTGTGACTTACCCCTTGGTCCACACACTTTTGAATAAGGTCCGGAAAACAGATGCTCCTAGAGCCGACAGCTCGAAACCTTCATCCCATTTGGAATGGCCGTTTAGGAGTTGTGCGACCATCTGGAAGCAGCTGATCTTCGTGACCACCTCGTAAACCCGTTCCTTCTTCAGGAGTTAGTCGACAAGCTACCTGCGTCAGCTAAGCGAGAATGGC